GGACATTCCGAATTACCGTCTGGTTATTATTATTATTATCATTAATTAATCAATAAAGTGCATGAATCTACGGTAAATGTGTACCACATTTCACTGACATTCCGAATTACCGTCTGGACGCAGCAGCGGTGTAAGTACATTATATACGCACCTTGGCGGAGGTCTGCACTCTCTGAGTCCTTTTCTAGTTAGTGTTCTGTTTCTTCTTGTTGTTATTGTTGTTATCATTATTATTCTTATTTTTATATTACCATTGTAATTATTTTATTGTTATCATTATCATTTTCATCATTATGATTATTATTGTTATTATTATTATTGTTGTTGTTGCCATTGTTATTATTGTTGCTGTTGTTATTGTTATTTATATTATTTGTTCATCATCATCATTGATATTATCATTATTATGATTATTATTACTATTATTATCATTATTATCTATATTACCATTTTGCTATTATTATTCTCATCATCACATGAACATCATATTAATGACTATTACTAACTTAGGAGAGCAAACGCAGTTTCCTTTGAACAAGGAAAATTCATACCTGAATGTAGACCTATATCCATACATTTATACATACGGTACATAAATAGCAAATACCATAAACATACACAGTGTACTAGCTAATCAATGTGGTTCATGTGTTGGTGAATTTTGTTTTTAAAATTGGCAAGCGATCGTTATGAGGGAAATGGGACGATAGTTAGTCGGGTTTGTACGGCCGCCTGTCTTGAAAAGGGGATGATAGTTGCACAAAACCAGTCTATAGGGAAGATGCTTGAGGTGAGTGATTAGGTGAAAAGAGATTGCAGGAGAGGAGCAAGGGCAAGGGCGCCAGGACTTCAGGGTTAGGCTATGGATTTGGTCTGGTCCAGAGGCTTTGTCTAGGATGCCGTTCGTCGAGATCTCAAGCAGAGGGACTGGAGGGTAAGGGCTATCTGGTACGTCGGGTATATTGGCATTTTTGTGTGTGAAAACGGATTGGAAGTGTGTGTTGAGTGTTTTGTGTTCTTGGTCGGTCACAAATGTGTTTTTCCAAGACTGTGATTGACGTAGTGTCTTGATTTGAAGAACTTAAAGAAGAGTTTAGGGTTGTTTTTGACATTCATTGCGCGGTAGGTGTTGATACAATCGTAGAAAATATACACCATGCACAAACGAGAGTTAGTGAAAAAGAGAGAACAGTTGTATCTTTGTCAATACAGATTAATATTATATGTAGCGGAAGTTCACTGCAACCAATTAAACGACAGAGGTATTCCTCCTCGTTAAATGAAACTAGGAACGAAGAAAGAGTTTTAGGAGTCTCTTCTTTATTTATATTTCTCCCCTGGCCTCCTTCTCACTCAGAGGAAGAGTAACAAATCCATTTTTCATTTTTCAGCCACAGCTCCTTTGTTGCCACTTCCAAGATTTTTTTTTTCTGATGCGTGAATGACAGGCTACTCATTTTTGTTATTTCTAGTATTATTTGTTTCTCATTATTATTATTATTATTATTATTGTGTGTGTGTGTGTGTGTGTGTGTGTGTGTGTGTGTGTGTGTGTGTGTTTGTGTTTGTGTTTGTGTGTATGCACTGAAAATGACCAAAAATTCATGGTCAACAGGTCACCCAACCAAGCATTATATACTCGTCATGAACATATGGCGTCATCGCTTTTTATTTACCTCGTTGAATGCGATTTTTCCCCTTTCGCACTTTATCATAAGAAGCGTTGTCATTTATTATAAGTAATGCACTTCCCAAAAGCCCCCTCCCCCATAAAATAGAAAATAGATAAAGGAAAAAAGACTAAGCACATCAAAAAACTTGTATCGCAATATTCTTGGCCGCCATGACGTCACGCTTCGATTCATGGAAGCATAAGCGCGCATGGCAGAGCTGAATGCCTTGCCTGGAAGGTGATTTTTCTCTCTTTTTATAAAGTTTTCGAGAAGTCAGTGGATTAAGCAATGCTCGATAAAGGAGTTAAATCGTGTACGGGAAGCTATATACGTTGTAAAAATCCTTTTGAATGTGTGTACACAAACGCACGCACAAGTATATATATATATATATATATATATATATATATATATATATATATATATATATATATATATTGAGCATACTGACTAGACATGTAACACAATTTCTTTTTCAGATTCAACATCAACATCCACACACCCCACACCCTTGCTCGTTGTTGTCATTTAGGGGCTTAGGAGACGGGGAGTTTGGCCCAAAGCAGGGGATCCCCAAGATCTATAGACTTATATAGACCATGATCACCCCTGCCTTGGACCTCAGCCCTCGCCTCAACTAACTTTTCTTCTCCTCCTTTCCTTTCCTTCTCTTCTTCATCTCCTTGTTCTGTCCAATTATCCTGATCGTTAACTCATGCCGTTATCATAATGCTTCCTACTCCCTTAACTTCTTTCCCTTCTAACAACCTTTACCTTATGCTATACCCCATCACCTCCCACTCTCTACCTTTTTCACTACCAATTCTACCCTCTAATACTGTTCAATCCAATCATCAGCTCATTCCTAACTCTTTTCGCTACTATACTTTACCATAGCGCCATATAACATTTGATGTCATATAGCACTTCCTTTCCTGAGGGCTTTGCCTCCAAGCCTCACGCTATCACTATATTTTGAATACGCCGCTTAGATATTAACACGGCAGAATTTTTTCAATAAATAAATACAATCCCCTTCTCTTGTCAAATGAAGGTAAATAGTTCCTTTGCATGTCTAACGGAATGATGTTACAAAATGGAAATTGCCGCCGTGGACTAAGGGCATCGTACGGCAGGGCAGTGCAAATGGTGTTCAGAAACTGTAATTTCTTTATTCATATTTCAACTCAACTCGTCATTAACCTTGTCCGGGAAATCACTATAGTCCACACCTTAGATTTCGAATAACTACGATAACTCATCGTTAAGAGTTCATGCTTTTTTTTCTTTGTTTTACCTTGATTTTTTTTTCGTGAACTGCCATACTAGACAAAACTGATTGTGTATTGCTCTTTTTTCTCTTGAATATCAGGGAGTCAAGGATTTTGTCATCTCTCTCTCTCTCTCTCTCTCTCTCTCTCTCTCTCTCTCTCTCTCTCTCTCTCTCTCTCTCTCTCTCTCTCTCTCTCTCTCTCACTCTTTCTCTCTCTCTCTCTACCTGCTGTCTGTCTGTCCGTCTCTCTCTCTCTCATTATAGACTTTCGCTCAATCTTTATTATTCCTGTTTAGTTTCCTACGTTTGCCTCAACAGTCAGCAAAGCCGTGATGTTGCGTTTGCGAAACTGAAAAGTCATCGTGACAAAGATTAAAATAGCCTGAACACCTGCTTATGTGCAAAAATAAAGAAGAGGTTAATGGAGACAGAGATAAGTTTATTGTGTGCGTAATCTAATTTCTCACGATGGAAATAATGAAACGAGGACAAGTGGAGAGGGATTTCTGTGAAGCACTTTGAAACGTGTTTATTGTTATAGGAAACTTTGGTGCCTAGAGTTCACAGGATCTTTCATATTGTGTGTGAAGAGTCTCACTTTCTCATCTCTCATCTCTCTTTCTCTCTTTCTCTTTCTCTTTCTCTCTCTCTCTCTCTCTCTCTCTCTCTCTCTCTCTCTCTCTCTCTCTCTCTCTCTCTCTCTCTCTCTCTCTCTCTCTCTCTCTCTCTCTCTCCTTCACTTCGCTTCCTATCGATCAGAGAATTTCACTTATTGATTACACTAATTTTGTTATGGAATTGGGTCCCTCATTGAATGTGCATATAAGGTAACTTTTCCTGGCGCACCCATTTCAGCAATACAATTATTATAATGCTTAAATGACAGCCTTTACACCGAGGGTGGGTAAATGTTCTAGCATCTTCTCCGGGTTGTCTGAAGGGCATGTAGTCTGTTCTGTAAATAAACTTTAGCAAGTAAAATTCCTCTCTGCGTCTATATTTCTGTATGTCTGTGTCTGTGTGTGTGTGTGTCTGTCTCTTTCTATGTCTGTCTGTCTCACTCTCTCGCCTTCTCTCTCTATCTCTTTCTCTCTCTATTTCTCTCTCTCTAACTATTTCTCTCTCTCTCTCTCTCTCTCTCTCTCTCTCTCTCTCTCTCTCTCTCTCTCTCTCTCTCTCTCTCTATATATATATATATATATATATATATATATATATATATATATATATATCCCTCTCCCTCCCTCCCTCCCTCTCTCTCTCTCTCTCTCTCTCTCTCTCTCTCTCTCTCTCTCTCTCTCTCTCTCTCTCTCTCTCTCTCTCTCTCTCTCTCTCTCTCTCTCTCTCTTTCCCTCTTCCTCTCTTCCTCTCTCCCTCTCTCCCTCTCTCCCTCTCTCCTCCCCCCCCCCTCTCTCGTATGGCGAAATATCCACGCCGCCGCAAATTCCCGTACCATGCTTGGCACTCTGCCAACTTACTTTCTTGGAATTCATGAGATCCTTTCCCTTTTCTGAGTCCGCTAAGCTATGGCCTATCTGTAGGATAGCTAGATAGCGTAGATGAATGTGCTTGGTTTGTAGATGTAGTTTCCTAGTATTGTGATGTCTGGGTGGGTTCTTCAGATAGAATACTAGTAACTTTATATACGTTATCTGGCGTTATCTCAAAATTCAGATTATTTTGTATTGCGGAGAGGAAACACTTGTTTATTTATTTGTCAACATATGTAAGTGTAGCTTCTATAAAGATGATCTCTCGTATTCTTCCCGTTCACCTTCATCTCCTTTTCATTCAAGGTCTTTGCAGAAATAGGACGATTGCTAGGTTTCTGCTACTTTGCATCACCAAACTTTTTCTGCACTTGGAATACCATAATGATGAATGATTTCGGAAAGTTATGATACCAGTACTCTCATTTATTGGCAATCTGTATCAATCGGACTTCTAGAACTTTACAAAAATAAGAAGAAAGCTTTATTAGTCTAAAAGTTAGCAGTTTAGCGGTTGTTGCTAGTCGCTAACTTACTACACGAGCGGGAGCCTCCAGTCGCGACAAAAACATTGGAGTGGAAACTGGGACGCAAAAGTTGTTCCTGACTTTTTCATTTCTGTTGCGGTTTCGAGGTTGTTTTAAGTCCATTTGCCATGATGTGAAGAAGGCATTATGATGTGGCGACTGCTAAGTTCGTTAACTAGAGGTGAGTTTTGATTAATGACATTTATTTATAGTTTTACTCTCTGAAAGTATGCATCTCCGACGAAAATATTTTTGTTTACTTTTTTTCTGATCTGTTTATCTCTGACAGTTTCCTCTATTGTGTCTGATAGGGACTTCCAGTTACACGGGTAGCACGTGTATTAATGCTTTCAAAGATGAGGCGAATAATAGCAATGAATTATAGAGACAGCAGTGCAATGCATATAAATCTTAACCTTCAATGCGTGACTTTTTTTCTCTCACTTTTTTCCCACCATATTACTTAATAATTTTTGATAGTTTTAACATGTTTCTTAGGTCAGTAATTTGGTAGTTGAAGGTATAAAGTGTAGTGTATAATATTAATATGCATTATGCAGATTGCTCGATTTACTCTGAAACTGAAACACAGGAAACAAAATCCTTTAAGGAAGAATCGGTATATTTTTAACATTGTCTGTTTATGATGTACTCCCTCTCCTCTCCCTCTCCCTCTCCTCTCCCTCTCCCTCTCCTCTCCCTCTCCCTCTCCCTCTCCTCTCCCTCTCCCTCTCCCTCTCCTCTCCCTCTCCCTCTCCTCTCCCTCTCCCTCTCCTCTCCCTCTCCCTCTCCCTCTCCTCTCCCTCTCCCTCTCCCTCTCCCTCTCCTCTCCCTCTCCCTCTCCCTCTCCCTCTCCCTCTCCCTCTCCTCTCCCTCTCCCTCTCCTCTCCCTCTCCCTCTCCCTCTCCTCTCCCTCTCCCTCTCCCTCTCCCTCTCCCTCTCCCTCTCCTCTCCCTCTCCCTCTCCCTCTCCCTCTCCTCTCCCTCTCCCTCTCCCTCTCCTCTCCCTCTCCCTCTCCCTCTCCTCTCCCTCTCCCTCTCCTCTCCCTCTCCCTCTCCTCTCCCTCTCCCTCTCCCTCTCCTCTCCCTCTCCCTCTCCTCTCCCTCTCCCTCTCCTCTCCCTCTCCCTCTCCTCTCCCTCTCCCTCTCCTCTCCCTCTCCCTCTCCCTCTCCTCTCCCTCTCCCTCTCCCTCTCCTCTCCCTCTCCCTCTCCCTCTCCTCTCCCTCTCCCTCTCCTCTCCCTCTCCCTCTCCTCTCCCTCTCCCTCTCCTCTCCCTCTCCCTCTCCTCTCCCTCTCCCTCTCCCTCTCCTCTCCCTCTCCCTCTCCCTCTCCTCTCCCTCTCCCTCTCCTCTCCCTCTCCCTCTCCTCTCCCTCTCCCTCTCCTCTCCCTCTCCCTCTCCTCTCCCTCTCCCTCTCCTCTCCCTCTCCCTCTCCTCTCCCTCTCCCTCTCCCTCTCCTCTCCCTCTCCCTCTCCTCTCCCTCTCCCTCTCCCTCTCCTCTCCCTCTCCCTCTCCCTCTCCCTCTCCCTCTCCTCTCCCTCTCCCTCTCCTCTCCCTCTCCCTCTCCTCTCCCTCTCCCTCTCCTCTCCCTCTCCCTCTCCTCTCCCTCTCCCTCTCCCTCTCCCTCTCCCTCTCCTCTCCCTCTCCCTCTCCCTCTCCCTCTCCTCTCCCTCTCCCTCTCCCTCTCCTCTCCCTCTCCCTCTCCCTCTCCTCTCCCTCTCCCTCTCCCTCTCCCTCTCCTCTCCCTCTCCCTCTCCCTCTCCCTCTCCTCTCCCTCTCCCTCTCCTCTCCCTCTCCCTCTCCCTCTCCCTCTCCCTCTCCTCTCCCTCTCCCTCTCCCTCTCCCTCTCCCTCTCCTCTCCCTCTCCCTCTCCTCTCCCTCTCCCTCTCCCTCTCCCTCTCCCTCTCCCTCTCCCTCTCCCTGCCCTGCGAGGTTAAACTTTTATCCTCCATTTCTACGTTGGAAAAGGGGGACCCTGATATGACAACACTATCCATGCTGACACCTAGGAGGAACTGACAAATTGCTGGAAGGCCAGAGGCACTTTACTCTATCTCTGTCTAAGGGGTGGGTAAGCGTAGGATTCAGGACGGCACTTTGAGAACCTCTGTGGTGTAGGATCTAGAGCCTTATTCTCTTTTTTTTATGGTTGTGTTTAATTTTTTTTATGCTGAGAGCATATTTTGAATATTGTAAGAAAGAGAGGACCTCAGTTTTTTTCAATGAGTCTATCTTGTTCTATAGGTAATGGGTCTCTTTAACTGTGGTATTGTAAATACAACATAAAATGCATATCAAATCTTCACCAGATCTCTTCCTCATCCCTTGCAGGTTTTAGATCTGTCCGTCCCACTCATTGTTGTTCTCAAGAGGGTCCAGATGACAAATCCAGAAAGCAGGTTGATTTTCAATGCCAGCTTCTGTTCACAAGACGTCCCTGCCACACATCTCAGCAGACTCAACAGCTTGACCACAGAGGAAATGACGGGGAAAAGTACTTTAGACACTGTTCAGAGTCATCTGGCAAGCTAGAAACATGGAAAACTCATTCAACATTACAGAAAAAGAGTGGCCATGGTGACTGGGTCTTCTGCAATGTGGATTTTAAGGAAAAACAAAGCAATTGGGGAAGGTCCTGCCGATGGAAAAGCAGAGAAAGGTTTCTGTGGACACACTCAATACTCCAAGGGTTTGGATGGGTAAGTGAAGTTCTTTTGAAAATATTGTACAAGCTAGATTATTTTACTTAACTTTGTTTAGTCCTTTAATGAAACTAGAAACTATGTCATTTAGTCTATGTCATTTAGTAAATAATTTGTAACATCAGTATATTATGTGTTGTAAGCATTTTAGTTAACATATATTTTCTTCTCACTGTCTGAAATTTATTTTCAGGGTTCAGTTGTGGCCTTTACTTATTCGCTGTATCAAGGTTGGGAAGATCTACAGCGAGAGAAAGAGGCAAGGAAATCCATCTATAAGTGGTACAATGAGAGGAATAAATGTCATAATGATTATCAGAAAGAAAATAGCAGGAAAAATTGTGAAGGCAGCCAGCCCTGGAATAATAGCTTTGTCAAGAACCATATATACCAGTGGTGGTTCCAGAATGGGCATCAGTATCCTTTTATCACCTTTCTAGAATCAGATTACCAACATAGGCACCTGACTGTTTATCCTCAAGAACTGTCAAAATCACTTTTTAGTGCTCTTTGGAATCTAGCAGTTGTTCAAAAAGATTTTAATTTTGCATTGAAGAGGAACGTTAGAGATGAAGGACACCAAAAGAATGACCATCAGTCCTTTAATGATGGCCTTCTTGAAGATGTAAAGGGAACCAAGACATTATCTCCAGTAGATGTGGTGCACAAGCCAAATCCAGAAGAGACACAAACAAAATTGCACACTGAAGAACATACTTTTGATGCACAAGGAAGTATAACTGGATATGATGCTTCCTACAAGCTTGAGAATGATCTACCAATAGAAGAACCAGTCAAAGTCTTTGATATTAAGGAGGTTGGAGGAAAACCACACCATGAAGATAGTAAAGTCACTCAAGATAATTTCAGTAGTGATAGTGGTCACAGTTCAGGGACAAACAGGCCAAGTGTTAAGCAGGAGAATGAACAGGATGATAATGAAGATTTTGACGATGACTTGAAAAAGGTAATGGATGATTTTACTTTTTGTACCCCTCCCAGAATTCTAATAATGTTTGAGTTCAAGTTTTGTATTATGGCATTGTCTTGCTTTTCTGAGTTGAGCTTATCACTTACTGTGATAACTGGACATGAAAGTATAGTTGCTTCATTTCCTAGGAATTAATTTGGAAACAGTTTTTCTGGTGCAGTTCAACATAATGAGGGATTGGCAGATGTAACAAAGATTTTTGCACAATTTGTAGCACTGCCATGCTGAAACTTAATTTCCAGATATAAGATTTAATATCCATATGATTTCTGCTTTCTGTAATGTTAAATGTTTTATTAACTATATATGTATATTATTCTTGGTTGGTTTAAATACACTATGACTTAATTGACTGACAGATATTACAGTCATCATGTTTTTTGACAGATTTTGAATGCAGGTATTGAAGATATCAGAACACTTCAGGGGGAGTTCAAAAGTGCGGTAGCAGAAGATTTTGCTCGGAGCAGTGAGAGGTCCAACCCAGGAGCAGCCCTTGTGTATTTCCAAGTGGGGACAATGCTTGGTGATCCAAATTCGACATTCAACCTGGCCCTCTGTCATCACTTTGGCCGAGGTGTCAAGCAAGACATGAGGAAGGTAGGGTATAGGCTGAATTAATTTTTTCTAAGTTAGGAAGATTAATAGCTGCTAAGCTAAAGGTAACAGTTTTTAATATACTGAAGAAAATATTTCCATTGCTAAGGACTTTAACTTTTTTTGCCTGATCATTTTAGTTACTGCATTGTAGGGAACAAAGTACACTATTTTTATCTATTTATTTATTTTTTCCAAGGTAGAGATGTATTTTATAGATTGGGGATGATCGATGACAAATTGAGAGGTTAGGGATAATGATCATTAATTAATCAATAGGTTGGTACTGAAATCGTTTGAAATATTACAATGTTATTCAACCCATTCGCGACGGGGACAATGAACAAAAAATGGGGAAAATGCTGTGCTCATTTTATATATTTTTTGTGAAATGTCTCTACACAGATGACTCTGCCTTACCTGATTTCACCTTTCCTTCAATTGGCAGGGAAATGTATTTTTTACTAGTGCTATGAATTGATAGGGTTATTTTTATTATACACATTGTAGATACTATAATGTTATAAACAATAGTAATGGCAAAATAAGATAACATAAAGTATTTTCATAAATTAAAGAAAAGGGTAAACGGGTGAGACAAGCAGTACTCGTAATTGGCTCATTGGTGTTTTAGTACAAGTGTAGCCATATACTGTATGTGTTAAAAGCAATTAAACAAGTAAACTCACAGTGGGCATGTCACGGATACGTGACATGCCAGTCGCGAATGGGTTAACCTTGTTGTGTACAGTCACTAATCACCAACCTCTCAAGTGCACCTTCCCCTTGACCAAAAAAGGAATTAGAGTCTAGATATGCCATCTGTGCATTGGAGTAAGAGGTTGTGACCCTATGGAAGATCACATTAAATGTGCTCCTTAAAAAAGAACAAACTAATCCTTATTGAATTCCTTACATTGCCACTTTGCCTGCTGAGTTGGGAGATAAATTACAAATAATGAAGCAGTACTGGCAGTAAAAAAAAGAATTCTTGCATTATCTCCAACAGGCCCGCAACCTGTATGAGGCTGCAAGCAGGAAAGGTCACGGAGAAGCAACCTTTAACTTGGCCATTTTGGTCAGCCAGGGCCAGGGTGGATCTGCTGATCTATCTCGGGCAAGGAGATTACTATCTCTGGCTGCTGAGAGAGGTGTCGAGGAAGCTCGTTTAGCTTTGCAGCAGATGGATGAGGAAGAAGAGCATGAGGATGATGTGTATGAAGGTTGGTGTACTGTTTGAAAGTAGTATTAATATAGTAATAAGATATCCTGTGATATAAGAGAAAGTCACTGAAGAAAATATTTGAATATTTAACTGATATACATACTGAGCCATACATTGGGTTTCATGTATAATCAGTTGCTTGAGTTTAAGATTAGTAACATTTACCCCACTCTCTATGCTTTTGGCTATGGCCTGCATGATATATTAGGAAATTTGGCCTAAAAGAGTGTAAGAGCCAGCATTTGAAGGGCTGTAACCCCTCAGTGACTGCAGTCAAGGCCAAACAAACAAACACCTGTTTTGTGCACAAAGCTTAGAGTGGGTTAAATCTAGAAGTTTAACATTTTTTAACTTCAAAATATTGCTGATCCCTCAGGTGGACTGAGCAGGACCCAGTCTGAACCAACACTCTCATCTGTTCTGTCAAGCAACTGGTCATCTTCATATTCAACCACAGATCTTGACATCCTAGAAGATTCATTAGGTTTTGTGTCCACAGAGATTAATGCCCGAACGAGGCCTGTGTTCCACCTAACATGAATGGCTCATGTACTTTATTAGGGTGAGTAACTGCGAGAATTGGAAGGTTATTCAGTTTAGGAGAAAGAAAGCTAGTCAAATTTTGATTTTATGTGTCAAATTTTATACTCTATATAGCCTGGTTTCAATTAGTCATAAAATGCATATATAATTTTCAAAATGCAAGCTCAATGTGATGATCTGGGAGTTATATCTTTCCAATTTAAATAAGTAATAACAGGTCTTTTGTAAAATTTGTTACAAAATTTTTAGAGTGCAGTTATTGAATAAAGTGATACGAAAGTAAGTAGGTTAGCAATTTTTTACTGATAAATGTTTACACTGATTTTTATATTACCTAAAGGTATTGAAAATATTGGTATCATAATATATATATATATATATATATATATATATATATATATATATATATATATATATATATATATATATATATATATATATATATATATATATATATATATATATATATGTATATGTATCGCAGAAAATTCATGTATTTTCACATTTTTTTCAAGCAAGGGAGAATGCTACAAATATATTTGTGATCTTATAGGTGATGCTAAAGTTAAGTACTCTGAATGGTGTATTGAAAATGATATGGTGAATGTAACCTGATTTTTTGTTTGTAGAAAATTGATAATTATTTGTTTATTGATTTCCATGCTAATTTATTTATATTTATGCAAACAAGCATTGTGTGATATTATATGATAGTTTGTATTTAACTAACTTATGCAAACCACTAGGACTCAACGTGATAATTTATAACTGATTTACGAAAACATGATACACAGTGCAGGAGCAGCCTTCTGTGTGGTAAGATAGCAACTTATTAATATAATGACAAGAACCTCTAGTATGTTGTCTTTGAAAACTATACTCACAAAGAATATATATAACTCCTTGCAAAGATTTAGTATTTATCACTGGTAATAAGATATTGTTAATATGTCGTGCAAGTCCTTCATGTATTTAATTATTTATATATGCATGATATTCATTGTTTTGATTTCTGAATGATTTGGAGAAGAGATCAGTGGGAAGCACGAGTCCAGTGAATGTTTAATATTTATATATGTTTGATATTAATGGAATTTTTTATTTATTTTTTATACAAATTAATTTGTCACTTCAGTGTTAATTGCATAAATATTAATGATTTAAGATTGAAATCAATCATTAATTATTAAATAGAAAAATGAGTAAAAGAGTAATAAGAACATTTTTTGAGATGAGTTGCTCGGTTGGATTAAATATATATCAAGGAATCTTACTATAGTGATCTGGACTAAGGCAAAAGGTCTTCATAATGTATTCAGATTCTTTACTCTGCCACTATTACTTACATTTATTTGTTCAAAGCTTTGCAGTTGGAGAATATGTATCTCATTCTTCAAGTTATGTTTAGTACATTATAGTTAAATGTTTCACATTCACACCTACATTTTCTCCCATGTCTCTTAATTACTTCCTCGTTCTTTCCCCAAATATTTTTTTTAACATCATTCTCATACCTCATATCTTACATTGTGTTTGTCCACTATTCATATACATATTCTTATACCCATGTCAGTTAATTTATTCTATAGTAGTGTTGACTCAATATCTCCTCTCTTCTTTTTGTGTCCCTTAGTACTTCACATTCTTAAAGTCACTTTTTCTTACTGTAATCCTTTTTCTTTTACCCTGCATTAATTTTACTAGCATAACTGAAGTTAGAGTGTTGTATCTAGTGCTTTGGTTTCTAGTAGAGAAAGGGGTCTACCACAGCACGCAGAGTACTCCAAGACCTGTGCTTTGGTTTCTAGTAGAGAAAGAGGGTCTACCACAGCTTGCAGAGTACTCCAAGACCTGTGTCTTATTGAATGACAGCATGTTGTACTGTATTTTCTCATTTCCTTGGTTTGTTGTGTAGGTAAGGAATAAGATAGTAGACAGAACTGAGTTAAGTTTAGTTTCACACTAACAGGATGGCATATAGAGATTCAGTACTGCTATTTGTTTAGATGTCACATATCAAAAGTAAGAATGGTATAGGAGAGTTATCAGTGGCTGTCCTTTTTTCCTCTCTCTCTCCCCATAGTCAAAACTAAAAGATGATTTGAGGAATTTGTGCTTGTTAAAGTTGTGGAAAAAAGGACAGAATATGTGGCACAAATCCTGAATGATGTGTTTTCCTGAATTGTTCTTTTTCCCAGTGAAATTTGGTTGCAACAAACATTTTTTTTTTCCAAAGCAAAGTTGTGAACAGTCATATTATTGTATAGGAATGTATGATTAAATGACAATTACCTATTTGTTCTACCTAAGTAATATATGCTTCATTGTTACAGCAATTAGACTGTAGGTTGACATGAAGTAGGTGGTTTTAATCACCAAGAATTTTATATTTTTATGAGTACAAATGTAAATAAGATGATAATAAATATCTTCTCATTA